TATAGTAATTCGTCCCCCATATAGTAATTCGTCCCCCATATAGTAATTCGTCCCCCATATAGTAATTCGTCCCCCATATAGTAATTCATCCCCCATATAGTAATTCATCCCCCATATAGTAAGTCCCCCATATAGTAATTCATTCCCCATATAGTAAGTCCTCCATATAGTAATTCATTCCCCATATAGTAAGTCCTCCATATAGTAATTCATTCCCCATATAGTAAGTCCCCCATATAGTAATTCATTCCCCATATAGTAAGTCCCCCATATAGTAATTCATTCCCCATATAGTAAGTCCCCCATATAGTAATTCATTCCCCATATAGTAAGTCCTCCATATAGTAATTCATTCCCCATATAGTAAGTCCCCCATATAGTAATTCATCCCCCATATAGTAAGTCCCCCCCCTGTGTCAATTCACTTACCTTTGGTCCGCGCGTTCCTCTCGTATTCCCGCGCCGTTCTGGTCTTCAGGGAGGACTGTGAGAGGAGTTCGTCACGCTGCCCCGCCTACATCCTGACAGCTGCAGAGTCCTGACGTCCGAGAGGAGGGAGGGGGGGCGGCCATCCGAGAGGGGGGGCGGCCATCCGAGAGGAGGGGAGGGGAGGGGAGAGGAGGAGAGGAGGGAGGGGAGAGGAGGAGAGGAGGGAGGGGAGCGGGGCCCCGGCACACAGGAGAGCCGCATCTAAATTTGTAAAGAGCCGCGGCTTGCCGACCACTGGCCTTGCGGGAGCCTAGCTCCGCGGGCCGGATTAAAAGGTCCGCCGGGCCGTATACGGTCCGCCGGGCCGTATACGGTCCGCCGGGCCGTATACGGTCCGCCGGGCCGTATACGGCCCGCGGGCCGTAGTTTGCCCATTGCTGTTCTAAAGGCAGAAGTGCTTTGTGTGTGGCTTTTTTACCTTGTTATAGGTCTATAGGGACCCCAGAACGGGACAATCGGGGCTGCTCTGTGTAAAACATTGTACACAATGCAGGTAAGTATGACAAGTTTGTACAACCCGTGGCAAAAAGTATGTAATCGCCACTCCTGGAAAACATTAATTCAGTTGTAAATTGTGTAGAAAAAAAAAACAATCGGACATGCCTCAAAACTATTTTCATTTAACATTCCAACCTTCTGGCTTTAAGAAACACATAAAAAAATAAAAAAAAATCTGCAGTCAATTGCACCTTTTTTGCAGATCAGAGGATAAAAATTGTGGAATCATTCAATGCTGAGGAATAATAATATAAACACAGGCTGCATAGATTGGTGTCGGTTTTTGGGCACCAATACATGTGAGTGCATCTGTATTTTATCTACTTACAATTTTTCAATAAATACTACACTTGGAGGATTTTAATTTATTTGGTTTACTTGAGCTGCTTGGAGCAATATCTATATCTTGAGGAGAGCTTGGGATTGGGATACCATCCACTGTTTTTATACCCAGAGTATTGTGATCACAAAACTGGGGGCAGTCATCTCTGACCCCTGGATCCACATTTCATGTTAGAAGACTGGGAGGCCTGATCCAGGAGAGCTTGTTGCTGGTCGTCAATATTTGATTACAAAGCGCTACTTGACCACCTTAACCGGGATAATTTTTTTCACAATAAGTGAGAAATTCACTTATTGTCTGCATGTGGTGAAAGAGAAAATCTGACATATTTTAGCGCCTACCTATGTACGTATTTCTGATGCATTTTGCCATAGGGCAAAATCCATGAAAACTTTCCTTCAAGAAAGACATGTCAATGGCATGGCCTGCAAATAGTCCAGACCTCAATCCAATTGAAAATCTATGGTGGAAATGAAAAAATGGTCCGTGACAAGACTCCAACCTGCACAGCTAATCTGGCAAGCGCAATAAGAGAGAGTTGGAGCTGGATTGATGAATACGGTTTGTCGATAGTTAAATCCATGCCTCAGGAAATTCAAGTGGTTATAAAAGCCAGAGGTGGTGCAACAAAGTACTAATGGTGTACTGTAGTGATTTTTTTTCATGATTCCATAATATTTTCCTCAGAACTGAGTCATTTCATATTTTTTTCCTCTGCCTGAGCTGTAAAAAGTTGCAACTTACTACAGCTTTCTTTCTTTTTTTTTTTTTTTATTTTGAAGCGCCAGAAGGTTGGAATGTTAAATGAAAATTCGTTTTATTTCTACACAATTAAACAATTGAATGAACATTTTCCAAGACTGGTTCCATACTTTTTCGCCAGGGTTTGTAGGTTAAAAAAAAGTTTAAAACACATTTAAAGTCACTGTAAGGGCTCTGTGCAGGGAAGATCAGAATCTGAACTCAGAGGCTGATAGACTGGAGGTAATATAAGGCATTACAATTAAATATAGTAGATTTTTCCATCGCTGTCCATCGATTTTGACCCACTATAAGTTAGAAAATCAAACGAAAAGTCTTTTTAAAATTAAAAAAAAAAAAAAATTCTCATTTGAAGGAAAATATTGTTTATGGCCAGCGTAAGTGACAGCTCGTTCAGGTAGCTTGTATCAAGCTACCTGCCTATGACGAGGGATATTATATTAAAATCCTGTCTGAAAATCTTCAAAACGGCATTTTAGGCCTTTTTTACTTTTTTTGTTTTTTTTTTAATAAATTTGACCATATTTAACCTCTAAAAGTTTTTATAGATCTCATTTGTTCTCAGATATTGTGTTCCCTAACCATATGGCTCGTTAGTTATATTTAACACTATAGATATTAATTTTTTTTTTATAATTTACTTTTACATATTAACTAATATTATACACCAAACTCTTTTTGAGGTTTTTGTCCAATTTAATCAGTTAATTGAAACAAACGGCCAACTAATCAATTATGAGAATAATTGTCGGTTGCAGCCATAGTTTACGCACGAGCGGTAAAGAGAAGCTCCACCCAAAAGGGGAAGTTCAACTTTAAAGTCTGGTCCCCCACTCCCCATTAAGGATTGGCAACTTTGGGGAGCAGGTACCTGAAATTGACAGGTACCCGCTCCCACTTCCACTGCAATCACCTAGACGATCGGAAGCTGAAGTTTTTGTCCCCCCTTCCCTTCCTGTAGTCTTCTGGGACACGTGACAGATCCCAGAAGACTACGGGGCCATTCAGGAAGCTCATCGCTAATTGCTCATGTGCAGTGGGCACCCGGCTGTGAAGCCGAAAGCTGTCACTGCTGGGTGCCTACACTGAAGATGCCAGCGCCTGTAACCTTAGATGGCTGGTGAAACGCACTGCAAGGAGGGCACTGCGGGATCGTGGGACAAGTGAGTGGCAGTTTTTGTAGCTGCTGACTTCATTTTTTTTACAGTGTGAGTGGAATTCAACTTTAATTTCAGTGGCCAGAATAAATTATTATTCTGACCAATTAAGTGAATTAACACCCACGTGCTTGACACTTTTTGTAAGTTTGGCTAAACACTTGTAAAAGCATTAGATACTTTAACAAGCCCCAGGTGTTTTTTCTGCAAAAGGCTTCTAGGAAAGTTTGTTTTGGAATTTTTTTTTCTAGCCAAGATATGTAGCAGAATACATTTTGGCCTAAATATTATGGCTATTTAGATTTTTTTAAACATTTTACTGGACATGTTTAATAGCAAAACGTCAATAGTTTTTTTTTTTTTTTTTCTTTTCCTCCATTTTTTTCCAAAACAGGAAGTGAGAAAATCTCTCCAAAGTAACAGGCAACATCCTATTTGTTCCTAGAACAGGTGTTACTGTTGTAGGTTTCTATATATAGTCTCACATCATTCTCATCACTTAGTGATGTGAGACCAAGAAACAAATGCGGGCTTTTTTTTGGTTACATGAGTGTTTCATGATTTGGATATTTTTAATACTTTCAGTATCCTTCGGACGCTATTCATTGTCCAATATCTATCTGTTTTCTGGATTTTAGCACTAGTAAGTTCTGCTTTATGATCCTGAACTGAACCGCTCACCAACTACTGTGTCAACTAGATGTGAAAACAGAGCTTCATTCGCACCACACGTGTGAATCCACACTCACTCATACTACAGTGGAATGGCTAGCAGGAATGGTCTGGTACCGGCATCACTAAATGGCAGACCGACTCGCTGTTCTGCCCGGACCCGCCATTTAGAAGCCTGTTGCGCCCTGCACCCAACACTGCTGTCCTCCTCGTAGCCCACAGCGGGAGGACAGACAGCTCACCACGGAGAGTTTGTTTTCCTAGTTATCGGGCAGCTGATTGGTTGCTAGGTTGGTCCAACTATGGGGCAACTAAGCACAATAAGGGGGCTGTGGACAGTAATGGGCTGACAATTATGGGGGACAGTATTGGGGCTGAGTACAGTAGTAGAGGGGGGGAGAGGGTGTGGACAGTAATGTGACGGATGGGGGCAGAGGACAATTATGGGGGGAGCATGGCATTTGATGTGAAGGGCAGGGAACTGTGATGTAAAGAGAGGGACTAGTATATGAGACTCCATTCAGATATGTGCATGCATGCATCGCCGGTTGGCCAGCCCATTAATTTTAAAGTGCTACTAAAGAAAGATGGGAGAAGTCCCTGACCCTTCTTTTAAAATCAAACAGCACCTAGCCGCTTGGTGCATGTGAAAATTTCATAGGTGGCGATGTGTGGGGTTGCATTCAAGAATTACTGGCACCCCCGCACATCTGGTAAAGTACAGCACATTTCTCTGCAGAATGGGAACACGTTCAATTTTATGAACGTTCTCCAGCCAAAGAGAGATGAACCCACGAGAAGATGTGTGATGTGAAGGATCTGTGTCACGGTGCATACATACGATCCATACTTCTGTTGGTTGAATCTTTTATGGACCTCCATGAATTTTAGTTCAGTACCCATGGTCTAGTACCATGTAGTGCAACCTTTTGTTCTTTTTTTGCTCAAATTTGTGTAAATATTATTTTGTTCTCTAATATATGTCTACAAAATGTTAATATAACTGCAAAGTATATACACAAACTGAAAAGATATTTAATTTTCCCTTTTTTTTTTTTTCTTTTTCTCCCAACCTACAGGGCATCATTAGCCGAGTTAAAGATACAGTAAAAAGCATAGTTCCAGTATGGTTACAAAAATATTTTAACAGCGTGGAAGAGGTGCATGAGGTTGCTCAGCACACTAATGAACCAGAGGAGCACGTGGAAACGCAGAATGATGTTGAAAATGACCATTTTGAAGATAGGGAGTCTCTCCCACTTTTTGGGAGGGCCGCCCCAGAACCTGTTAGGATCCAGTCTGGTGAGTTTCAATGATTTATACAGTTATATGTTTGATATATCCAAGGGATGCTGTCATTTGGGCTTTTAAAATCAACTGAAAGCTGTGTAATAATATTACACGAGTTAACTTTGCCTACTGCTAACTGGTCATAATTGGGTCTCTTAACACAAACGTACTATAGCGTATAAGTGCATCAGTGGATCGAAGTCTAATGTGAATTCTGCCAGTTTAGGAAGTGGTGTTAACTTCCCACCAAAAGATCAGTATGTCTGGGCAGGTCCACAGGAGGTAATATGAAGAGCCCACATCTCTAGTAATTTATCCAAGGGATAACAAGAGAATGTAGTACCAGTGCCTTTTAGTATTTTATAATATTTATTTTTTTTAAATGCATGCATATAGAGCTCCTGTGGAACAGATTCCAGATCCCCTTCCACCTCTCTAGTGAGAGTTCACAACGCAGAATCCTTTCCCACCTCTGCATATAAAGATGCTTTAAAAAGGTATTTTTCAGTAATGCTCTTAATATCTTATATGCACCAAAGAACAGTTTTTGGCTTACCTAAAAAGCCTTTCAAGGGCTTCATAAGGTCTCTGGTTAAGGGTCCATTCACATTAGTGCACCTCCAAAGTTGTGCAATCTCCAGTGCAACTTTTTAGAGACTTTTGGTGCGACTTTAATCCGACTTTACATCCACAGCACCAAAGTCGTACCACAGTGGTGCAGAAACCACTTTCAAGTTGCTGCGACTTTAAGTTGCACAAATTTGAATGGTACTTGTAGCAATTGTACGTACAGATATGGAAGCGGACATCCATTTTGCTAAAGATCCTCCATCTTGTGTCATTTTCACTCCAAATCGGCCCCCCCCCCCCTTTTTGTTGAATGGCATGTGGTCTGGTGTGGCTGAGTTCAGGAGTGCATTGGGCACAGCTGGATACACTTCATGGTTGTAAACCCAATTAGCTGATGCCATGGTGTCTGTCAGACTCTTGTTCTGAGCTGATCGTAAAGCTATAAACCTGTCAGTCACTGGACTTGAAAGCATTCCGGAATAGCAGTAAAACCTTCATCCCATTTGAAACCACTTTTTCATACAATTTCATAAACTCCCGGAGGGAAATATGTGCAGTAAAACAAAGCATACAGTGAGGCAAAAAAAGTATTTAGTCAGCCACCAATTGTGCAAGTTCTCCCACTTAAAAAGATGAGAGAGGCCTGTAATTGGCATCATAGGTAGACCTCAACTATGAGAGACAAAATGAGAAAAAAAAATCCAGACAATCACATTGGCTGATTTGGAAAGAATTTATTTGCAAATTATGGTGGAAAATAAGTATTTGGTCACCTACAAACAAGCAAGATTTCTGGCTCTCACAGACCTGTACCTTCTTCTTTAAGAGGCTCCTCTGTCCTGCACTCATTACCTGTATCAATGGCACCTGTTTGAACTTGTTATCAGTATAAAAGACACCTGTCCACAACCTCACAGTCACACTCCAAACTCCACTATGCTGAAGACCAAAGAGCTGTCGAAGGACACCAAAATCAAAATTGTAGACCTGCACCAGGCTGGGAAGACTGAATCTGCAATAGGCAAGCAGCTTGGTGTGAACAAATCAACTGTGGGAGCAATAATTAGAAAATGGAAGACATACAAGACCACTGATAATCTCCCTCGATCTGGGGCTCCACACAAGATCTCACCCCGTGGGGTCAAAATGATCACAAGAACGGTGAGCAAAAATCCCAGGACCACACGGGGGGACCTGGTGAATGACCTGCAGAGAGCTGGGACCAACGTGACAAAGGCTACCATCAGTAACACACTAGGCCGCCAGGGACTAAGATCCTACAGTGCCAGACGTGTCCCCCTGCTTAAGCCAGTACATGTCCGGGCCCATCTGAAGTTTGCTAGAGCGCATTTGGATGATCCAGAAGAGGATTGGGAGAATGTCATATGGTCAGATGAAACCAAAATAGAACTGTTTGGTAGAAACACAACTCGTTGTGTTTGGAGGAGAGAGAATGCTGAGTCGCATCCAAAGAACACCATACCTACTGTGAAGCATGGGGGTGGCAACATCCATCATGCGTTGGGGCTGTTTCTCCGCAAAGGGACCAGGACGACTGATCCATGTACAGGACAGAATGAATGGGGCCATGTATCGTGAGATTTTGAGTGCAAACCTCATTCCATCAGCAAGGGCATTGAAGATGAAACGTGGCTAGGTCTTCCAACATGACAATGATCCCAAACACACCGCACCGCCCGGCAATGAAGGAGTGGCTTCGTAAGAAGCATTTCAAGGTCCTGGAGTGGCCTAGCCAGTATCCAGATCTCAACCCCATAGAAAACCTTTGGAGGGAGTTGAAAGTCTGTGTTGCCCAGTGACAGCCCCAAAACATCACTGCTCTAGAGGAGATCTGCATGGAGGAATGGGCCAACATATCAGCAACAGTGTGTGCCAACCTTGTGAAGACTTACAGGAAACGTTTGACCTCTGTCATTGCCAACAAAGGATATATAACAAAGTATTGAGATGAACTTTTGATATTGACCAAATACTTATTTTCCACCATAATTTGCAAATAAATTCTTTCCAAATCAGCCAATGTGATTGTCTGGATTTGTTTTCTCATTTTGTCTCTCATAGTTGAGGTCTACCTATGATGCCAATTACAGGCCTCTCTCATCTTTTTAAGTGGGAGAACTTGCACAATTGGTGGCTGACTAAATACTTTTTTGCCCCACTGTATATTCAGATAGGTCAGTTTAATGCGTGTCACCTGATACCTTACATCCCTAGATTATGTCTACCCGAGAGCAGAAAGCGATATCTCCTTAACCATCCCAAGCAGATATGCCATATCTGATGTCTGGATGTTCAGAATATCATTCTGCATATTATCCTACCAGTGGATAGGATGCTACATGTACCTATGGAAGGTTATTGACCATGGTATAACTTGGGAGGGATTTTGGTCCTAGCCTGGGTCTCCGCCTAAACCGCCTCCCCAAATGAGGCGATTGGCCCTTGGCTTCAGAGACACCCCCTGCTGGAGGACTAGAAAATAGGCTGTCAGGCCTGGAGAAGTAAGATGAAGAGATTCTCCCATTTTAACATCAGGAACCAACTTGGGAAAAACGGTACCCTTTTTGTTCAGAACACTTGAATCTGCTTTAACCCAGAAATCTGCTTTAACCCAGACTCTGGCAAGTATTCTACCTCTCTAAATTTCTTTCTGTTATCTCTCTGGTGTGTTATTGCTCTCTGTATTTATTTATATATATATATATATATATATATATATATATATATATATATATATATGCTATATCTTTTTCTGTAAATATTTTTATTGCAACATTTTGACCTTTTTAGTAATAAATCCTATTTTCTGAAAAGTCTTGGACTGTTTCTAAAGCTCTTTAATGCAAACTAAGAATCCCTGTCTCTGAAGAGTGCTACTGTGTGTTTTAAACTTCTGCATACATCTGCCTGCGGTGACCGTGTGTATACAGACTCTTATTCAAACATAGTGTTACTGCTAAGATTGGTGAGTTTCCTCCTTCTCTGTGCTGAAAGGTGGTGGTGGCAGTGTGAAGGGTTAATTGCGTAATTAACCTGACCCAGTAACTGTCTGGTCAGACCTACTGTTTCAGGGCCCAATATGAGACCCTGCTTTACGTTCGCTAAATTTGATGCTGTTTCTATTGAAGCCATGATCTTGAGGGACCGAGGGGCTCTCAGGTCCAGTTATTTCTACACTGTTAAATGCTAGGAAGCCAGTTTCTAGAAACATTTATTACAGAGTCTGGAAGTCTTACATTTCCTGGTGTGAGGCCAAAGGATGGCATCCCAGGAAATATGTGATTGGGAGGAATTTCTCTTTTCTCCAGTCGAGAGTGGAAATTAAGTTGGCTTTGGGCACCAGTAAGGGTCAGATTTCAGCTTTAACCATATTCTTTCAAAGGCCTATTACTTCACACTCCCTGTTAAGGCCTTTCTGTGATTCATACAGTACCTTGCTTGTGCCCTTGGGATTTTAATTTAGTGTTGGCTATCTAACAGAAGCAGCAGTTTGAACCACCTAGTTGTGATATTCCACTACTTCTTTTGACTAGAAAGGTGTGGTTTTGTTTTTTTTAATAGCAATCACTTTGGCAAGAAAGGTGTTGGAGCTGGCAGCTCTTTCTTGTGTTGGAGCTGGCAGCTCTTTCTTGCAAGGAGCCATTTTTAATCTAACACAATAAGAAGGCATTACTCCTTTGTCCATCCTTGCCTAAAGTGGTTTCTAGCTTTCACTTGAATCAGGACATTGTCCTACCCTCTTTTTGTCTGAATGCTCATTCTCCAGGAGAGAAATTGCTGCATTATTTGGATGCAATGTGAGCTGTCGTCCTATCTGAAGAGGTTGGCACAAATCAGAAGGTCCGATTCCTTGTTTGGGCTACCAAAAGGGCCCAGGAAAGGGCAAGCAGTATCCAAGGAAACTATTTCTCATTGGATCCACCAGTTAATCGTTCAAGCCCATGGTTTCAAGGGCAAGGTCCCACCCTTTCGGGTAAGAGCGCACTCTACCAAAAGTGTAGGAGCCTCTTGGGCATTTGCTATCAGGCGTCTGTGACTCAGGTTTGCAAGACCACTACCTGGTCTTCAGTGCATACATTGACAAGGTTCTACCAAGTGAATGTTAGAGCTACAGAAGATGCTGTGTTTGGCTGCAGTGTTACGGGCAGTGAAGTCGGTCCTTGGGCTGATTATGGTGTTTGGGATTGGGGTTTCCCTCCCCTTAAATGGATTGCTTTGGGAAATCCCACATAGTAATGATTATAGCCTGCTCTGTGTCCTGTGCTGTACAATAAAACAAAATTTTGATTTTTTTTTTCTACGTTCTTGCCTGTCAAATCCATTTCTTGGAGTATATCATGGGACACAGAGGTTCCTCCCCTCTTTCTGGTATTCATATCTTTCTACAAAACTGAGGTATTTCCTGTGTAGGAAGGGGTTAT